TCCTCCCATTTAAATGAGTCAGAAATGGTTTCTGTTGCTTACCACCAAGGAACTCTAAGTGATACATGTCAACACAAGCCATAAGCATCCTAACAGCCATTCTGCATCCTTAGACGATGACACTACCATGTGATGTCTAGCAAAGGAGCACAGCAGCAACTGTAACCCTCAACTCCCAGGAGAAAATGGGGAAAAGACAACTACGCTTATTTTCTTCCCTCTATGTGTAATAGTCTTGAAATAATCTCAGAAAGTATTAAAAGCAGAAATTAAAAAGGATAAACTTCCCAAGTGCAATTAAATCACTCACCATTAGTTTAACTGTCCTACTAGCCAACTCTATAATTATTTCTATTTCTTCCTAAAAGAAAGAAAGTCTTCTAAAGTCTATCTAAAGTCTTTCCACAGCCCCTTCTTGCATCTACCCCACATTTTGTTTTACTGACATTTAGAATTCAGAGATTGGGTCCCATTTTTGATGCCACCTTGTTATATATTCAGAATATTAAAGATGCCCTTTCTACTCACCCAACCCTCAGGCCTTATTAGGCTGGGAACCTAGGCCAAGGCACTCTCTCTCTCACTCTCTCTCCTCTCCCCTCTCTCTGAAATTCCCAGCACACTGCTGTGGCTTCTCTAGCCTTCTCCCTTTTAGCTGCTTTAATTCGGAACTTTCCATTCTTATTAGGTGAATCATCCTCAGGCCAGGATACAGCAGGCAGTGAGCACAGAGGATGAGCTGAGACACTGGAATCAGGAAAGCAGTGCACGCATGTGAAGCACAGGATCTGGGCAAGATGGAGCCAAGGATACACAGCCCCAAATAACCACGTATATGAAATTCCCCTGAGAATTTATAAAATAGGGTGCCTAATGCTTTTGCTAATTGCCTGCCTATATATGCAAGGCACAATGGGAGTTAAAAGAAGAGTGTGAAGTAGTGTCTGACAGACTTTAGTCAGAAGGGAGGCAGTGAAGGCGGAGCACGTTCAGAGGGGACACAGCAACAGCAGAAAGGAGAGCCTGAGAGCTCTGTTCTGTTCTGTCCTGTTCTGTTTCCCATTCGCGTCTTGCAAAAATGGCTGATACCAACTCATATTGTCAGTTCTGCTGCACATTGTCATTTTGCTGGGGAGACCGTGCAAAATGAATGAGTTTCTTAAGGATCCCCTAAAGTGGAGTGCACAGGTGAACCCGGGATGCACAAAGGCCTGCCAAGTGATCTTGAAATCACACCACTCTGTAGTTATTTATTTTGCCTATTCCTAAAGATCTGTGTGTCCTTATTTTAATTATTTTTCTACTTTACTAAGAAAATCAATTCATCATAAATTTGAAATCTTTTTTATCCATGATTTGGCTTTAGAAAATCCTACTTATAGACATTGGCTTCATAATTTAAATGGCTATGTATCAAATAATTTTACATTTCCTTGAGATAATTTGTATAATGTAGGGTTGGAATTCTGCCTCATACAGTGCCCTCCTTCAAAAAGCATCTTAAAGGGGAAACGTATTGATATTTACTTATAAAATGATAATTTGTATAAACTGTAATAATACTGTGGGGAAAATACATACCCACTCTGCTTTGTCTAAATAACCATGTTGGCAGTTAATATATCAATGTTCTTTGTAAAACTGTATTAACAAGAAACATTATGTTCTATAATATCTAGCAGTTTCTAAATTCACATATTTCAAATATTCTTCCTTGCTCACAGACCATAAAATTGCACATCTCTCATTTGCAATTAAATTTTTTGAAAGTTCTCTCGAGGGGGACAGGGACGGGTAGAAATGCATCAGATGTATTTTGTTCTTAATTGGCTACATTCCAGAATGGAGATGGTATAAACCCTTTCTATGTCAATGATGGGCTGCATTTGTAAGGATGATAGATCATTCCTGGATTTTTTCTTCCAAAGCTCCTTCTCTGTGGTTCCTCCCACAATGCTCTACTTTGGGGTTATAAAGCTTCTCTTTCCCCATTTTCTAGAACCAAGTCAACTATCAGGTGTGAAAAGTATTCCCCTCCATGCCTGTTCTCATTTCTTTTTTTTATTATTACATTAATGCAAACATGGGGTACAGTGTAGTGTTTTCATATACATTTTGAAATACTTTCATCAAGCTGGTTCACATAAATTTCATGTCATTTGCATAGTCATTGTGTCAAAACATTTACATTCTTCTAAGACAGGGAGGACACCTCTAGCAGTTTGCCAGGGAACACTTGAAAAGGAGCTAACTGACACTGAAGTTCGCATACAATGTCCTAGACACATTGGGTTTCAAAGATTTTGCACCAAAAAAAGTAAAACATCTCAATTTTTAGATAGATGATAAGTTGAAACAGTAACATTTTAGAGATACTGGTTTAAATATAGTATTACAATTAATTTACCTGTTCCTTTTTAATCTTGTTAAGATGGCTATTAGAAAATTTAAAATTACATATATGGCTCCTATTGTATCTCTTTTAGATAGTATTTGCCCAATATTTACTTCTATCATAACACTTATCATAGACGCCTTCCTTTTTATGATCTCATTTTACTCTCTCTCCAACACCTGGTGTACCATAAGTGCACTTATTCTCCACCCCTCACTGTGAGTTTCAAAGAGCTGAGTCATCAAAATTTATTTTAAAATTTGAGGTTTTCCCAAAGACTTCTTAGTCTTTTTTTGTCAAGCAATGAGAATTCTTACTGAAGAATTTTAAATAGCTCTGTTGTATATAAATTTTAAAGAAGGCCTGTTCCATCCTATATTTTGGATAATGAACACATCTTTCTCCTCAGGGTCTAACTAGGAAATGCCCTAGGCTAATAAAGAAGACGATTTTCCCATAAAAGGAACCAAAGAGCTAAAAACTGCCTTTGGACTGATGACACCAGAAGTTACCTTCCGAGTCAATACCAACTCTGACTCAGAAGCCAGATGGATGACAGAGGCCCTAACTCTCTCTCCGTAGTCCTGAGTACTCACTAACCTTGCCAGCATCCTCCCTGACAATCTATGTGTTTGCATACGGAGATCTGACCAAGCTCTTGGCTTTCACTTCTGAATACTCCATGCACCCACTTTAGATGTTATGCTGGTATTCCTTCAAATACCCTGTCCGTTCTTCTGGTGACATCTCCCTTAATCCAGAGAGAAGCCATGTTGCAGAATGGTGACATACACAGACCACAGAGTCAGTCAAGTCTTGGTTTAAATCTCTCATTCTACCATTCATTTTTTACAATAGATTTCTAGATTCCCTCATCTATAAAATAAGGATAGACTGTGGATTTTACCTCACAAATGCCAATAACAGAACCTAATCACATGTATCCTCAAATTAACCATTAATAAAAAATAAGTATAATAATAAAATGCACGTGGGGTAGAGTGTACTAGTTGATCCTAATACATACTCTCTTCTTTTTAAATAATGGAACACTCCCAACTTTACTTTGGAATTTGGCTCCAGCTAGAGATGCCAATTTCAAGCCTCTCCTGGAGCTGCATGTGTCCAGGTGACCAGTTCTTAGCAAAAGGGACGTGAAAAGAAATGACATGTCTAACTACCCCTACCAGTCCTTGGAATATTGAGATGATAATCAAGTCATCTTGAAACATGTAGATGAGAAAAATAAGCTTAGCAATTATAAATAAACATAATTTAGAAAGGTGCTAGCCTGAGCCACTGCTATTAAGGCCTTTATTGAATTAGCTGACTGTGTAATCCTAAGATGTCACCCTAAAGTAGTATGAAATTAAAGGAGATAAGATACATAAAGTGCTTAGTATATGATTAATATATAAGCACTACAGAACGGCAGCTGTTATTATTTTTGTTATCATCATCATTCTTATTATTCTATTATTGTTATTGATGGCCCTACATGCTGCCACTTGGCCACAGATTTACAGGAAAAAAGACACATGTGCACACACACAAACCAGGAGAATGGGTCGTGCTAAATCCACGGATGTGAGTGTGCATGGTAGGACGCAGAATGTAGAAAGCCAGAGGCTGGCAGAATTTCCCCTGGGCCTCAGGAATTAAAAGCCACAAAATAAATGCTCTGTACACCATGATAACCTACTGGGAGCTGGCCTGCCTGTTTCGTACAGGTGGAAATCCTGATGAGACTGCTAACTGGGACCAGCAGAGAACACATCTGTGCCAGCTCACGCTTCATTACTTCAGGCAGCTCCCCGTCATAAAGCTATCTGGTCATTAAATTCCGATGTCTTTCGTCTTGTTCAATGATGAAGATAAGAGCAAAGACAGCACATTTGAGTGACTTTTTTCTTTGTAGGTACACAATAATCTCTCCTTCTTGGCAGCAAGTGGGTCACAGCTCTAAGGGAGGAGGAGCTAGCCATCAATCGCACCGACCTGCCGCCAAGTGCGCTAATATTAGGTCACATCCTTTATGTAGTTAACTATTGGAAATATGACCAGGTCAGAAAAGGAAGGAAACTATTCCTTATAGCGACTTTCTGCAGAGGAATTCTAAATACTAAGGGATGTTTTCTGCATTTATTCTTAAAGTCTTGCGCAGGTGTCTAAACCTATAGAGAAATCATATCTTCCTGTAATAAAGGAAAGTATTAGCATCTGAGGCCCAAAGTGGGGTGCCAGCAAAGTCTATAAATATATTGGCAGAGTGGCATTGTATAAATGGGAACATCAACATTTAATCCCCTATCTGCAGCAGACTCCAGAGTGTTACATACCGACAGATCGCACCCTTCCATCTCAGCACCCTCAGATCAGGGTGGATTCACTGCTCAGCAGCCTTCACATATGAGATTATGGCCTGCATACCAGTGACAAAGCAGATCCTTAAGTGTGCCCCGCCAAGTTACATCCAGAGCCTCCCCGGAAGCCTGTGCAGACACGCTCGAATGGAATGCCTGATACCAACTCCGGGATGCCCAGGTTAGATCAGGAGGACAACAACTGTCACTGAGTATGAAGATAATCAGGATTGAAGTCGCAC